TCCAGTGTGTGAACTTTTTTTTATATTTGGCTGGTTTTCATGAGAGTTCATTTGCATTTCATGGTCTTGTCAAATGTTCAGGGGTTTATGAGATGATCTGTAAATCATTACAAAAACATCAATTGTTTCATTGAGGTATGCTTGGGAAAATGAGTCCGCTCTCTTTGATATATTCAGTCTCAGAGTATCACGGACGGCTGCAGCGGAGTTTTCCGCTCATTCACACATTCACACTTATGTAACCGAGTTTAGTGGAAGATTACCACAAGCAAAAAAGAGGAACAACTCGGACAGACACAAATAAAACATGCATTATGAGGTAATCCAAATTAACTGATATTATTACTATTATTATTATTATTATTATTATTATTATTAGTAGTATTAGTAGTTAGTAGTAGTAGTAGTAGTAGTAGTAGTAGTAGTAGTAGTAATAGTAAAATTAAAAAGTAATTGAGTCAGCAGAAAACAACAACACTTTTTACAATGCAAATTATTTTTAGCATTTCAACACACTTGAGTTTTGTGTATTTTTTTGTATTTCTGATAAACCTTTAACATAAATAATCTATTATATATATTTTCTAGAAGCCAACATCTGAAAACATGACATTTTAACTAGTTTGAGTTCATTAAAACAAACACAAAATTGTTTTCAAGATGCAATTAATTCAATATTTCTGCAAATCATTGCCATCTAATAAACAGGCGTTTTTTTTACTCATATCAGATTGAACTAGTAGTTTATGTCAAGTATTTTTTTATCCATCTACCATTACAATTAATTGTGATTGTTTGGTATTATTGATACACTGGACATTGGATGAATGTGCAGGATTAGTCATAACATATGACATAATGTGTTCAGTCCTGAGTCTGAACTGAAATGTCAACAAATGAACAGCCACTAGTGTGAACCTCGGTTACTCATCAGAGTGTGTGTCTGTTAATTCCAGTTTCACAAAGCCATTCGGTAATGTAGGGGAAAATTACACAACCTTAACTTTACACTTTCAATTTACAGCTAGGTGTAAATTGCATATAGATGTTGAGGGAAATCCCTGCATCAGTGGGTATAAAACACTTAAGGATATCTGAGTTCAGTCAGTTACAGCACATAATCGGAATCATATCCAAGATGCCTCTCTTCCAGCTCTGTGAGTATAATGCAACCTGGCTGAACAGAATTTTCTTTTTGCAAGTTGTTTAACTTGTGCTTTACAAAGGAACTATATATTCTGTCCTTTTCTTTGGTCAGACTTCACTCCTGCACTGCTGCTGCTCGTGCTCACCTGTCCTCAGGTCAGCCAGTCTGTGCCTCTGATGGTTAAAGGAACGGTGACAGACTCCTTGGTTTTCTCCGCTCAGATTCTTCTACAAAGCATCACTGATGCACTCACTAAGGTATGTTTGAAACACTAACTAAAATACACTGTGATCTTTAAAGTGTCTTTCATTTAAACATGATATTTCTGTTTGCTAGGATGAGCTGTTCAGTGGGATCAACTGCAGTCAGGAGATGGTGAAGCTGAACAACGAGACAGACACGCCATCAGTATGCGCACCAAAGGTAAATTATTAGTATGTTTAAATATAACTGTTGGGAGTTCTGTTGTGCCTCTGTTTAACTTCAAACTAAACTGTGTTTCTCCTGCAGGGATCAAAATGCTCAGGAATCAATAAGACGGAATTTGATCAGGTGGGTTTTGCTATGTCTTTGTGACAAATATAATAAGAACACCTATTTTTTAACTGTTTCATTTTTTAACTTAGAAGACAAAACAACATAATATTTTGAAAGAGCCTATTAGTTAGCCTATTATAATTTCATCTGATTTACAAATGTATAATTTAACAACCAAAGCAAGAAGAAACATCCTTTGACACATTGCTGAGTTACTTTCTTCACTTCACTTTATGAGTAACAGCTGTCCAATCTAATGAGGTTTGATTCAATTGTTTACATTATTCTTTATCATGTCTATAATATATATTGAGAAGTGTTTATAGTCATCTGTATTTAAAACGAAAAAAATAACAAGAAAACACATTCAAAACAATGATTACATTATAAACTACATTTTACTGAAAGCTTTCTGCCAGCAACAACAAAAATGTAAAATTGTGAGCTTTATAAAGATAGATTTGAAAACAGGGCTGTTCCAATGGACCGCATTCAATTGTACAAGGGAATAATAAGTGTGTGTACAGAATGTGAACTTATGAACTGTTTCTCCATCCAGGACTTATGTCTGGAAAACATAGGGAAGGATCTGCATCACTACTTCACATTTCTAGCTGCTCAGTCGGACCCTGACAAATTAATCGACCCAACTCTGTCTGGTCTCAGAGAGCTCATGCAGGTAAATCATTTGCTACTACTCTCTCCATAAAAACACTATATTCTTGTCTGTTAGGCCCAATCACAATTAGAAATGTTAGTATAAAAAAAATGTATGAACTGTGAATAGGACATTTTCTGGTTACGCATGATTGTTTAGTTGAATTAATACGCTGAAGTTTAGATCTAAAACCACATGCATTTTTCATGAAGGACAACGGTTGTTAAAATAACATTGATCATGAATAATTTGCTCTCTACAGAACTTCTTCCCAAAGCATCTGCCATCAGACCTGGTCTCAGAGGAGGTAAGGGATCTCTTGATACCATGATTTAATTGGTCAAGGTATCTTTGCACAACTCAAGAAAAGTGTGCTTATTTATATGTTTCTAATTGTCAAGAAATCAGAGATTGAACACTCTAAACATTGTTGGAAGAATTGTCATTGTCTAATTGTTATTAATTATTTCCTAATTCTTCTGTGTCTCTTTAAGGATGCCTCAGAGAATTCAAGCAGCTTCGATAAAAAGCTGAACCTCTGCAAAGTGCTGAAGGGCTTCCAGCTCCGCAGCATCACAATCAACAGAGTCCTTTCTTACATGAACTCTGGTGAACAGACTAAATGAGAAAAATGAGCTCTAACAGATCAGGAGTTTCCAAAAAGCTAACCAAAACCACTCTAAACACAAATAATATAAACTGCAGTCACAGTCCAATGATTCAAATAATCTAGAAAACACTTCAGTCTACTTTATGACTGTTTACAGTACATATATATTATTATTATTATTATTATGAAGTAATGTAACTTATTTACATCAATATGGTGTGTTAAAGTACTTTTTTTAAAAGTGTATTTAAAGAATTTTTACTATTTATTTATTTATTTATTAATGATATTAGACTATTTATGTTCCACTATGTATTGTCCTGTCATTCACTTGGTTCCAAGAATCACCAAATAAAAACTTTTCCTGCATAAATCCTGCTGATTATACTCTCATTTATTTTTATGTTTTTTTTTATTTGTTTCAGAAAATGTATTACTATTAGATCATGTAGGGAATATTCTATACATTGACATTTTATCGCCAATGATTTGGGTCAATTATTGGGCTTTTTCTTCTTCTTATTCTATTTCATTCAATATTTTATAGGATATTTAGAATTTTCTTTAACTTACAATATTCTTCATTTAAGATGGTCCTCCAATCCTAACATGTGATTTTCTTTTACTATTGGGCTATGAAAACTGCATGACTGTATTTTCCTGTAACCACTTCAGGCTCTACAGATGAGTTGTATGAGAATGCAAGTTTGTGTTTGTTTACACTTGGTTTGGAAACTCCAGTGTTAATAATCAACTTACTATTATCTGTCAGTAAAACGTCTTTTGTAATTCAGAAGGATGTGAAAGTCAGTCAAAACGTGTTAAGTGTCTGACTTAAGGTTTAATAACTCAAAATGAATGGTGAATGTCTTAAAAGACTCCACTTAGTGAGCTGCTTCATGTTCACTATCAGTGGGCACTGTTGGCCGCTTTGTTTTCCGATGTGATGTTTTGAAAGAGCTGCTACAGGTTGGTTATTCATTAAAACCTCACTGAAAAGGAAATAAGGCTTTTGTTTTTTATTTGAATCCTTTGCTTGTCTAAAGAAATTGGCACTGAGACTTGTGGCTTCTGGGGTTGAAAGAGACCTATGACGTTTGTGACACATGAGTGCATTACAAAATGCACTCCCCACACCTTATCACCTGAATCTCCACCTAGAGCACCATAATGTTATTTTTAACCAAATATCTCTCAGAGGGGCGTGGGGAGTGGCTCCTTATTTTCATCTAAAGTAACAGCACTTAGCACTTTTGAAACAGGGCTGAAACAGAGGGGTTTATGGGATGCTACAATTCATGATCTGTTGGGTATTTCGAGCCAAAGACTTCAGAGACATGTTTTGTATATATCTGAGACCTATAATATATTGATGAAAAACAGTATAATAGGATACCTTTAAATACTCTTTTAAAAATAAACACTTTAAAAAGATTTCTCTGGGCAAAAACATTCATCATACTGCTACTTTGATTCCAAAAATCCTACCACTAAAGCGGAAACATGTGTTAAAACATGAAAACAATCATTTCCTGCATTTATCAAATGTAAACATGTAGGCCTAGGTATATCAAAACATTTAAAGAAGGGCAGCCTTTATGTAGCATTAAAGGCAAATAATCTTCTTCTTTATATATGTTTTCGACTGTGGAATAACAAATGTATGAATATCGTTGTCCTTCTTTACTTTAATTTTTTACACTCTTAAACTAAGAAAACGTTTGAGCAGCTGATATTATTATCTTAATTTAAACGGTGTCAATGGAGATACAATAGGTTATAAATGCAGCTGTAGTGACACCTAGTGGTGAAATTAGTTTATAGCATAAATAGCTTAGCCAAATGACCATGCTAACAAAACGTGTAGCCTTTCTGTTAAGTTTTTATCTATGTTTTTAATTAATTACAAAGACTCAAAATGATAAACACTGTGATGTCGACACGTTCCAAGTAATGTCCAGCAGACATGCGCAGTGCAGCTGGGCTTAATCAGTCACAGCCCGCTCACAGGTGTGTTTGAGTTTGATTAGGCCTACTTACAGCTGTGGTTAGCGCCGCTCTTTCCAAACCTGTCAGAGGGCAAGAATGGACGTCCACAGAAGCTCTTCTTGGTGGATTATCGTCCTTATCTCGCTTTCCGCACTCATAGAGGGCCGGTTAATGCAGAACCGAGGCTCCACGGACAAAGCAAACCTAAACTTTCCTAGCAGCACTCATGGAAACATTCAGCCTCAGTTGGCTGCGGGCCAGCAAAGCGCCGGGCTCAGCGTGCGGCCTCGAGCCGTCTTGGTCCACTGCCACCCGGACTCGATGCGGTTTGTGGTGCAGGCCGACATGTTTGAGAAGGGCCTGCAGGTGGACCACAGACATCTGCGCCTGGGACCGGGTTCAGTGAGTGAAGGAAGTGCATGTGGAGCAGTCCCATCAGGAGAGGCGGAATACACCATCCAGGCCTCCCTCGGGGATTGTGGAACTAAACTCTCGGTAAGCATTACATTAAATATTGTATTGTATGTAAGCTCAAGTGAACTTGCTTGAATTCGTTTTTATTACTGGTTTAGGTTTGAAACGCTTATTATTTTGTATAAGTGTTCTTGTGCCTTCTTGTGTCTCTGTGGTCGTTTTGTTTGTGATTTTGTCTCTGTGTCTCAGACTGTCTTTTTGTTTAGTTGTTTCTTGTCCCTTTGTAGTTTTTTTTCTTGTTGCAGTACTGGTGGTTTTGCACCATTTTGTAGTTGTTCTGCGTATCTTTGGTATACATTCCTTGTAGTTACTTCATGTCTTATGTGTCTCTGTAAAATTAGTTTGAGCCTCATCCTGGTTAGTACTGTGAGTGTCTCTTTGATTGACATTTTCACAATGGGGGCCCAGTAGGCCTGTTTACTAATGCATCCATGTTGTTATACTATCGATGTGTTTATTTGTTCTGAAAGACTATCATTGTTCCTTTCAGTCTACAAAAGAGAAGATTATCTATTCTAATGTTCTGGTCTACTCTCCTGAACCTTCCCCTGATGGTTTGCTTAGACTGGATGGAGCAACTATTCCAGTTGAATGTCATTATGAAAAGTAAGTCCTGTATATTGTGACACAGTAGTACATGCTTATTACTATTTGAAATATTTCTCGAACACTCCGTATATTTTCAGGAGGTATTCTCTGGATGCCATCTCCCTGCTTCCCACCTGGGTTCCTTCTGTCTCCACGATCTCAGCAGAAGATCAGATAGACTTCAATATTCTACTGATGACTGGTACTAATGGCATAACATGATCTTGCGTCTTCTATTATTCTTGTGCATTTTAGTTGTATGCTACAGTTTTCATGATTAATACTTTGAATAGGCCTATGCCTGTTGTACAACCACATTTCCAAATGACTTGTTTATGTTTGGATTTCTCTTTTTCATCCTTGCAGGTGATTGGCAGTTTGAGAGGGGATCTTATTCGTACTTCTTGGGTGACACTATTAATTTTCACGTTTCTGCCTTCATGGGTAACCACATGCCCCTGCGAGTCTATGTGGACCATTGTGTTGCCACAGCAACTCCCGATGCAGAGGATACATTAAGATATGACTTTATCGAGCATTATGGGTAAATACTAAAGATTGTTATAGTAAGATAATTGTTCTATTTTTTTATTGTTGAAATTATCTGCTTTCCCAACCACTGTCTTCTTTTCCTGTTCCAACAGATGTCTAACTGATGCTTACCAGACTAACTCAAAGTCACACTTCCTACCAAGAGTTGAAGAGAATCAGCTTAGGTTTCAGGTTGAGGCCTTCAGGTTCTACCAGGCACCCAGCAATCAGGTTGGTTATTTTTGCTGTCTGTGGCATGCACTTTGAACAACAAATCTTTAATAAGAAAACTGTAAGACTTGATAAGTTTGCTATTTTTGTTCAATACACATAAAACCTAAGGAGTTGCTTAAACATATTTCACTGAACTTCTCTCTCTCTCTCCCATAGGTCTATATAACCTGCTACGTGAAGGCTGTTCCAGCTGTGCTAGCCGTCAACTCTCAAAATAGGGCCTGCTCTGTAATTGAGAACAGGTATTATACTAATTATGCATGTTCAGTTTTCCTGTGCAGTGTCCTTGTAATATCAGAAAAAAAGGAAATTAGTTGTAGCATTTCAATTCCAATCAGCTGATTTATCTCCCCTGTATCAAACTTGGTGATCTAATTTCACAGAATTGAGTCCTCCTAATTTCAAAAATTGCCTCCTTATCCAGATGGAGGTCAGTTGATGGGAACGACCAGGTGTGTAAAAGCTGTGATGTCACCCATGGGGTGGAGGAGCCTCTGGCAACAGAACCCCCTAAGACTATCGTCAGCACCAAAGCATGGCCCACCGAGACTTGGCAGAGGCGTTTAGTCCAGAACAATCCAGAGGAACCCGAAGCACATTTTTTCCGTGTTCGTCCAGGAAGTCAACACAACAAACAACAGCAATCCTCTGCTCGATTGATGAAAAGAGGAGCAGAGTACAAAGCAGGTGAGTACAACAAATGGTGATCACGTCTTACTTTTATTTACCTTTTTTTTTTATTTAAGATCAATCTATGTGCAGTGCAATTTCACTAACCTCATTGACACACAAACCATTTGAGCAATTTGGAAAACCGAAACATTCCGAACACACCAAAAACATTAATGCATACGAAATCATATGTTGTTTTACAATGGTAATGTGTTAAAAAAAAAAAATAAGAGATTCAATTTATACCCGTTTTTAATTATGTGTTTTTATTTTATTATTATTAATGTTGTTTTTTGTGCAGCCGAATGAGACCTATTCACATTTTTGTAATTTTGTTTTACAGAGCGAAGTATCCTGTTGGGACCCATTACTGTCTTCCCATCAAACAAATTTGACAAAAAGCCATCAGACTCTAAAACAGTACTTTCACCAAAGAGCCGGACCTCCTGAACGCTGACTTGTGCAGGATTAAAACATTTTGGACAGAACACAACTCATACAGGGGTATCATTCTTAATACCATCTCATAAGGTTATTTGAGTACTTTTCACATTTCCAATTACTGTTATAGTTCAAATATTTTCTGTAAAAACAATTCCGAATAAACATTTAACTTTAACTTGGCTTTTTTTAACCTGCTTATTACAAAACACATGAGCATTATAATGATCTCAATTACTTTATCTGATTTTTCTTTTTTTTCCAACATGCATCCTGCATCCTGTAGTTCTTTGCCAAGAACTTGATATGCCTTTTAGCAAACAATTCAATTAGCATTGGGTTTGAAGCACTCAAGTCATTGGGCCAAAACGGCACAAATGGATGTCAAAAGGTTGCATTGTGTGTTTGTGTAGTTGACACAAATTCACACTATGTGCATCCTTCTGTCATCCACTGTAAAAATGCATTTCACATAATCCCACTATTTTGATCTGAGAAAAAAAGCAGACAAGCTTTTAGGAGCACTTCCCGCCATCATTACCGCAGCCTACCCATCATGTCCTCCCATTATTGATTAATCATTGTGAGGGTATATGCAGAAATATAGAATGTTGTCTTTGCTTACTTCTTCCAGTAAAATAATTAGTCAATTGTGTGATTATTGGTCAATTTAGAGACCTGTATTAGAATAGTTTCCAGGAGAAAGAGTGCTTATTAGTGGCCATTGTGTGAACCACTTTGAAAGCCTATACCATCGCAGCCTTCCCAGGAAATACCTGCCCATTAATGTATAAATATTGCAAATGGAAATGTTTCGGGCTCCTGCTTTCTGGAACACTTAGTTGTGGGTTTGGTTGTGTCAGCACCTCGGACAGCGCCCACCCATTGTTTCCCTCAGTGGGCGTGTTAAGCGTTGTCCCTGGTGCGGAATCATCAACAGTCTCTTCTGCAGTCTGCTGGTTTAATGTCCCCTCCCACCTTCACAATTAATCAAAGGCTCATTTCTCAGTGCTGCAGACACTACTAGTCGATGTCCTGGGCGCCTGTTTACTTTCATATCCAATGAACAAGCCATCGGTGTTTACGTTGGCTGGACGGCATCAACATAACCGTTAAGTGCATAATAAATCAAGAGCAGATTGAAGTACACTTAAGAGTTCATGTCAAGCTTGTTGGCGTATTCATATGCTACAGAGAGGGATTCAGCTGTCTGCGTAACCCCACTTGTACTTTATAGTGATAGCTGGCTGCGGACAGTTCAATTTGTGAGCATTTTTTTTTGTTCGTTATTTTTTCTCCATTTTCCGGTATTTGTCTGTCTCGTGGGCTCGCAGTTTGTTGGTGATGGCTCTGCTTCAACGTTTCAGCCAACCCATCTTTCAGAATATTGAGTGAATCTTCTTGCCTGCGCCCTGTTTCCCGAGCATTTTCACGGAGCTTAACTGGATCATCTCTCCCTTTCAACTCGGCAATGACGTTTTTCTACAATTGCCAAGCTCTGGTGTTGTTCACCTTTTGCTTTTTTGTTCGCACAGTTGTTTATTCCATCCGCAAATGTGGACCATACATTTGTCGAGATGACCAGGTTTGCTGCGCACAGGGAAACGACACCACTGCCGTCACCTGTTGCAAGCAGTTCATGGACAACACTTACTACAACATCGCCATGGTCACCCGGAAACTTTCCGGTGTGCTCATTATGCTGCTTCTCTTCGCTGTGGGATACTTTGTCCAGCGGATGTTGTGTTCCAGATCCAGGCAGCTCACCCCGCCACCCCTCCCCGGACTCCCTGCTGCTACCACATCGCAAGAGCCGCTAATGGAGAGCAGCACCCTGGAGAGCCTGAGGGATCCAGCCCCTGATGTGCAGCTGCCTTCATACGAACAGTGCAAACGTCTTCCAACATATGAGGAGACGGTGCGGGAAGGGAACACAGGACGGTCGGATTTCAACATGGAACAAGTTATGACAAGGACGTCAGTTGCATAACTTAAGTCTTCACTAAATGGCACTTTATATTTTACGTTTCAGATTGCTGTTTATTTGATTATTATGAACGTTTCAGAAACACAAACAAAAGCCGCCCTGGAAAATCTGCCTCTGAGCGTTCATGACCTATACTCGCCAAGGATTGTATCAGTCATTTATCTTTGTTCCGAGGAATGTATCAGACAAGTGCCTATGTATTCATTATTTTGCACAATGTATCAATGATGTTGCTTAAATCAATTAAACGGGTAATGCTTTTTAAATCAGCTGCTTTAAATCATTAATGAGAACTTTCGTGTTATGTCGTAAAAAATAACATTTGACACTTTGTCTTCTTGCCTCTTTAACTCTTCTATAATTATCTTTAATTCATACAAGTGTATAAACACACAACTCTCATTTAGCACAACAGACTAGATTATTGTGAAAGCTGCATTATCACACATCAGTGTTCATTTTTCTGAAGGCGTCTATTCCAAACATTAGCCTACTATACTTGTCTGTTGCTTATCATGCTGATGTGAATGCTTCGTCAGTCAGATCATGCCTTTATGAACCCAGTAATATATCAATATTTCATGGCTGCATGACATCATTCCGTTTCATAATTGACATAAGATCTGCTGCACTGATAAAAGTGTGTGTGTGTCAGTGGTGGCTCCTCTAATGCACACTAATAGACCATAAGGTATCTCGTGTTTCATGTGGTATCCATTATAGTGTCCTGTGAAGTAGCCTATATCCTAATGGGTTCACTAGCTCTAATGCTATTAGCGAGATTATGTTTTTCCAACAAGGATGCTGTACAAAAAAATAATCCGTATTGTCAATGCATTGAAAAAAAACACATTTCATATAAATACATGTTTTATTTGACCATTTGGACCACTCTCAAAAAGGCCTCTTCAACCCCAAATCCAGTGGACGCGGAACAAGGCTGAACGAACCAATCCCGACCAGAGCAAATCTTCCTCAGGTTAAACGTGTCCTTGATTTCAGTGACAGTCAGAGCGCCATTCACGTCCTGTTTGTTGGCCAGTAGGACCAGTGGACGGCCCCGCAACTGTTCGCTCACCAGAGTTTTCTCCAGCTCTTTCCGCGCCTCCTCCATGCGCTCCCTGCACGAGCTGTCCACAACAAACACGACGGCTGATGCGTCCTGGTGGAATTTGGTCCAGTGCTCGCGCATCTGTCGCTGCCCACCGACATCCCACACGGTTAGAGAGAGGTTTTTCTTGTTCTTTCTCGCCTCGAGCATTTCCACGTTGAAGCCGATGGTGGGAACTGTTGTGACGCACGTGTTGTGTTTCAGTTTGTAAAGGAGAGTCGATTTCCCAGCATTGTCCAGGCCCAGGAGGAGGACTTGGGCTTCCGGTTGTTTCGATCCTCGCAGTCCCATGGCGGTGTAAAATATAAAGCAAGTCAACTCAAGTGGGCACTTACAGTTCTCTTTTGACGTAATGTTAGCTTAGTGCGTTGCCCAGAGTTTTATAGATAAGCCATTAGCTCCATGCTGACAATAACTCACCCATAAGGCCACACCAGGGTGCAAAGTTTGTACCAACCAGAAGATAGGCCTATCCCTTGTTTACATATGCTGTATAAGAGATCTGCAGTATTTTTGTGTCTATGCAATGTAGAAGTGCTATTATCATCACACCTTTTATTTAAAAAAGAAAAATGTTTACTGCACAAATTCTGCTACTTTTTAGTTTACACAGTCCAAAAGCACATTGAAATGATGATCAGATACTTGTTTCAAAAATGTTTTATTGTTATAGCTTGTTCTGAAAGAAAGTACTTTACTGTTAATAATGATTTATAAGGCACGTTCATGTAAAGGTCAAATAAGTCATTTGTTTTCTTTTTATAGGACCATGGTGTACAGCGCCTTGGATACATCATTGCACACTCATGAATAGTTTGCCTAATATTACATTCTGACACAGTTCAAGAATTGTACTCAATGAATTAACACAACGGTTGCTTTAGGGTTACTAACAAACAATGTGTAAAGATAAGGCACAATGCCTACACTTCACCTGGCAAATAAATAAATGCAGTTCCTCACTGAACTTGAAACAGTCTTCTCTAGTAAAATAATATGGAAGTTAAATTCATTGCATCCTTCATATACATTTCAAACATCCACACAGTTTAAAGGCAGCCGACATGTGTGCTTTGTGCAAATACATTTGCATAAAGCACACATTGACAACATGTCTCTCACACACACACACACACACACACACACACACACACACACGTACGTTCTTCATTGCCGTTACAATAAAATCACACACACACACACACACACGTACGTTCTTCATTGCCGTTACCACATAGAAAAACTTTGCAATACAAATCCTTATGAGTAATTGGCCTTGATTCTAAGTGAACGGGTCAATATGACCCCGAACAGAAGAGGTGTCTCGTCTCTATTTATCAACATCAACCAATTGGAAAACAAGTTGGAACATTTTAAAAGTAATTTAAGCAATGTTATGTTATGCAAAAATAATGTATTTTATATCAAGATTTTTCCAATGTAAAAAAGAAAATAGAAAAATATGTTTGAATGTATATGTTTTGAGTAAAACGAGTGACTTATTCTAATGGAATCATGATCTTTGAGAGGTGAATAACACAATTGCACTAAATATTGATTTAATTGATAGTAATAAAAGGTACAAACTACAAAAGAAATCTGGATTTTGGGGCTTCGGACCATTTTTGGATAATTAAATGTGCACTGTGTCAAATATTATTGCTGTTACAAAAAACGAATATAACAGGAGGGTTAAATGTCAAGTGCATGATGTATCCCTCACACCAATTTCCCCAAACCTCAAAGTTGCCAGACATTTCTAAAACTCCCTTGAACTTTGTGCTGTCACACCTTTCAGTTTATAGGGGACATATTGGGCAGACTTCCAATACATTTTAAAGTTGGGTCAGCAACCTCCATTCCATGACTTTCAGGCCAGCATCAATATAAAACTGTCAATATAAAAAATAAATAATACAGCATATTAATAAAAATATTTGCATGGTATAAGCCCATTTCAATATATATTTTGCATTCCAAAAGGAGGGCACAACAAAACAAAAAGGAAGAACAAATAAATGAAGGTTGGTCATCAGCAGGATTAACTTTTCACCTTGGCACAGTTGGCAAAAGTGCACTGTGTTTACAACCCATGTAGGTCATTAAAATAGGGGATGATGTGAGCTGCCATCAATGTGTTAACCAAAGAAGCCAATTATAAGTAAAGACACAACCAAAAAACCCTGTTCTCATTGTATGTATTGCACAATGCATCCATTCTTACTAACTAAAACAGCTCAAAGTAATGTTGGAAACAAAACAATGACTCTGTGTTTCAAAAGAAAAGACGTTATCTCAGTGTGCATGGCACTCTTCGTCTCCTTTCATCATAATCTCCAGCAGTCTGACACTGAATACAAGAATGTCTCTTATAGACTAAATCAATAAATGACAGTGATCAGTCCAGCCCACTTCGACGATTTCAATCAACCGTCACTCCACACACTGCCCCTCAGCGCAGGAGCCAAAATGAGTTGCATCCTGGCACGAAGACGAAGGAGCTTGAGGCAGTGCATCCAAGCAAGTGGTGCTTCACTTTATTCCATCGAAGAAATTGTGTGCATTTCAAATGGATGTTTCATTTGTGTATCAGGTTCTGGTCCATTTCTCTCCCGGCTTCACCCACACGCCCCCGGTTGGATTGTCCATTACGTACACCAGTCCCCCGGTGTCACCGCGGCCTTGGGACCAATAATTAGTTGTTGACTTCTCCATTGGCCGGGGGGAAGAGTCTGGACTCGCCGACTGACTGGTTACCTTTTTCTGAATACGGACAATTGAGGGTGTAGAACAACATTCGCCGATTCTATGATACATGTCCACCGTGCCAACGCGCTGAAAAATCACCCGCGCTTCAATGGAGGATTTGGATCCTTGTTGCCCCATAGTCAAACTTAAATGCAAAACACTCCTTTAAAGATTCAAAGCAGAATTGTTTAAAATGCGCTTCTGTGTCTGAGTTGGCTCAATGATAAGCTTCAACTCCTCTGGTGCCTGCGCGCACTTGTCTTTCTTATACAGTGCCAAATGTACATAAAACAAGGCAATATTTTCCCGTAAAGCTGTAGCGTGACGCACTTGACTATGCGGTTACTAGACCCCTAGTTGCAACACGGGTCTCAGCATTTGAATTAGTTCATGTCAGAGCTATTCTGAGCCGCTCCACCTGGTACAGCCCGTCACTAAACTTGGCAACATCGAATGATTCCGAGCTGCCCCTCCTGCAGCAGCAGGGTTGAGTTGAGCGCAGTTACGGTATATATGCTATTTAGGTGCATCCCAGAAACACTGCGAAGACGTTAGGTGTTTTTCCCTGACCGCCACTCTGACCTCACACCCTCATTCTTGTGAATGCGTAATGATTCTAATTCCCAGGAAGGCGATAGAGTTAAAAGAATAAAAAGAGGGACCGCGAAGAATTGTTTTTAAGGTCGGATATTTGACTGACACTTAGGCCCAATCCCAAACCACAAAATAATTGAAATCAACCTTTGTAGTAATGTTAAGAACCTAATTTTAAATGGACCCTTGAAAATAAGGAGTTGGTATAGCATGCTGCATATTTAATCAGATAATAAAGACTGAGAAGGGAATTGCATTGAAGATGAAAGAGTTTGTTTAATACAGAGTTTACATACAGGATGTATTTACACTTCTCTTTTTACACTCTGAGCATCAGCTCAACATGTTTGATTAATTGACTGCTTATCAATTAAAGTGATTAGCTATTTATTGTAAACTTCTGCTCATGTACAGAAGGACAACAAAACGAATATACGTTTGGTGATCAGCAAGACAACCAACAAAACTCAACAATAAATAAGGCATTAGGTAAACTTAAAAAGTTTTTTTTCAATGGATGCAAATGTCAATAAACACAGTAGTATAGCATAGTTGAACATAAAACGGTAGCAAATGAAGTATGGTTTGCTTTATTCTCCCTTAACAGGGTGTTGTATTGCTTCAGGAGCATATCATATTTCTAGCTACTAGCATTCTGGCTGTACAGTTCACGATGTGTCAAACTTTAGTCCTTTTCTGATGGCAGCAGAGATGTGGAAGTTTGTTGCACCACCTGTTCCGTGCATTTCCCAGGTCAAAGGCAGCCACCAGTGTTCATGGATACAAACTATGTACTTTGTTCATGAACAAGCCATAGCACATGCCCCGATACAGACGGTGTAAAACAACTTTAACGGAACAGTTTACATGAGCTCCATAAAATTGCCGTATCAAGAGGTGAAGTTCAGTAACTACATCAGGTTCTACATACATTATAACCCTCTTGTATTATTGAGGATAGACAGTGTTTACATTGGCTGATATGCAATCATTTACCATTCCAAAAATAAACATCTGAAGGTGCTTTTTATTAACATAACTGTTTGTGTGTCTGTGTGCATGTGTTGTATGTTAAAGTAATACTCTATCCAAAATCTATCTTCTGAGTATCACTAACCTTCTGCTCTATTGAAAAGTAGAGTTACAGTTTTGGAGTTTTCAGCCTTCAACGAAAAAGTGGCATATAGAAGCCAACTCCAGCTCCAAGCCAATTACTGGTTCTGTTAACGTATTCCATCTATAATTGATGAATTAGTAATTGCATTTAAAAAAGAAATCCAATAACTTAAAAAAGAAACTTTTGGATATCACATTTTTGTTTTTACAATGAGCTTGTGTCTGCCATTCATATTCAATCTCACCATTCAGTAGTTTTCTGCTTCAACATTTACAGCTTTTAATGTCTGCTTTTTCTTCTTACAGATGTGTTAGCACCTGAGGGTTTAAAGAAATTCAACCCACAGAACAGTACTAGTATTGTGATTGGTCAGAGTTGTTCACACACTATCCGGGCCGTTGCTTTTTAAATCCATATTAGGCTATTTGTTTTCCCACTACCGCTCTGCTCCAGGCTCACCTCAGCCAGATGGTGAAACTGTAAATGTTTAACATCTTCCTCTAAGTTCTACATTGAGTTCTTGATACTCAAAAGTTAGATATAAGGAGCAGCATAACATCAAGTTAAATAAAGGTATGGCTCCACTGGAGTCTTTTTATATTTGACAACATTTTCCAATCTCAGAAGTGTAACAGACGCATACATTAATTGGGAGCAACATCAAAATGCAGTACTAGTGTCCTTTTTAGTAGCTTCCTGTGTTTGCACAGTAACTCTTGAATAGGCACTATTGTAGCCTCCACTTATAAGCCTCCAGTGAAGCGGTACCATTCATGTACAGTAAACAGTAGTAAATCAATCACAGTCTAATGGGTGCTGGTAAAGAGAAAAATGCCTGGATAAATGCATCTCAACTGTTGAATTACATATTTCTTATGTATTCCCCATTAGGTCAGCAGATATGTCTTGTGTTTAAATGCCCTTTAACCTACAAAAAAAAACATTATTTTTGTGTGTGTTTTTGCATGTGTGTGAACTGTTCTGTTCTCTGTATCAATATTTCTCCAGTCCTCCTGTGACATTAAACTCGTTTCTCCATCCAACGGAATTTGAAAAACATTGATCTCTAAGCTCTCAACTTGACTCATACCTACTCCCCTGCCTTACTATTATTCCCCCCAGCTCTACTTTTGAACTTCACCACCATGACGGTGATGTTGTCAGGGCAGCCACGGTAGAAAGACTGGAGGACGATGCTCTTGGCGCCGAAGTGAGGCTCGTCCAGACGCTCGCGGACGAACCGAACGGCCTCCTCGTTGCTGAAAGCGTCCCACAGGCCGTCTGATGCCAGGATCATGAACTCTGGCTGCAGCTTGTCCATGTCAAAGGTCATGATGTCTGGGTCGGGGATGATTACGTTCAGGTTCTTCAGTGGGTAGTCCCCCAGAGAGCGGGACATTGCCAGGATTCCCTGGACTCTCCACGATCCATTAAAACTGATAAAACCACCTGAAGGTAACGAAATACAATATTTATGAACATGTTAATGATGATGTACCAAATAAAGAGTATGTGTGGCAGGAGGTTTAGGTTTATAAATACTAAATCGAAGCTGACTTTTAAATCCTTAATCACAAAGCTTAGGCATCTAATTAATCTAAATCTTACCTTGATCTTTGTTTACCACAATGCTTTTCCTAAATACACCAACAGATGGCAACCAAAGGCCCTAAACATGAGGGTGCAGTGCAGGTTAATTCACTATGTGCCAGTTCAAGCAGGGTTTTTATTTGTTTAATGTACCTGCTCTCTTGATCCTCTTGCGCTCTTTAAGCTGGTACGGCTTGTGGTCATGTGAAAGTGCAACAGCGTTCCCATCTTTGTCACACAACACACCACGAGAGTCTCCAACGTTTGCCACGATGAGTTCTCTGTCTGACAGCAGCGCTACGAGACAAGTTGTTCCTGCATGGCAGATAGGATGAGATCAAATTGAGAAGACAGTCCAAAAAACAGTTTTAAAAAACATTCTGCAATAACTATGTATCAAATCTGGTGTCATGTGATTGTCGAACAGCGGGAGTATGAGGGTAGACCACATTTATATTTTGAAAACATTTGGGAGGAGAAATAAGCTATGCCACACTGAATCGTGTTGCTTTTAAGAATAACACAGCTAGTTTGACAGCATGGTCAAAGTATTGTGAACCAGGACTGACTCATTTGCATACAAACAAGCATAATGAATAGAAACAGAGAAATATAAGAGAAATCAATTGTGGCTTTAATATGCTGAATTGACAGATTGCCAAACTGTCATCAAACAAATGAAAAACAATAGGCCAAAAACAGCCGTTTCCTTGAGTAGATGTATCCAACAAAAGCGACTAATTAATCTGGACTGTAGCTCTGATTTTTATATCAGAGCATGGCTATCATCTACAGCATAATGTTAAAACACTGCAGTCTCACTGTTCTCAGTATTACAAGTGGATTGTAAATAGGAAACTTGCCGAAAAGGTAAATGTCACTTGAGATGCATTGAGCTGACAGGATATTGAACAGGAAATTGTGAGATTTTGTCAAATAGACGATGTGCCGTGACACATTTTGTCCTGTGAGAGGCCGAGAGGGTGAATGCTGAGGGTTTTTGAGAAGTACATTTGTACTGCTTTCATATAAGCCGTGGTGTACAATATTTACTGCAACTGTTTGAGATTAAATTACATCACTCTACATATTAAGGCACAAAAACTTGAGTGCGCTTTTAGGGTGTAGTTTCTCAAATGTTTTGATCTGCTTATTTTAATTTCCAAAAAGGTCATCACCAGCTTTCCCACAAATATTTCAAGTCAGTTTTTCCAACTCTTCCCATCTTCTCTCACACACACAGGTCTACTGTACAGAATAACTCCCCACCACTCTCCCTCCCCCCCCTGACCTGCTTCATCGTGGTTGGCAGAGAGCTTGTCCAGCATCTCTCGATCTACACTCAGGATGCGCTGCTCGAGGATGCTGCTGTGAGAGAGAGTGCTCTCTCTCTTCTCTCTCTCAAAGGCCTGCAGCTGCTGCTTCAGGGAGTCTGGCAGGTGGGCCTTCACGTAGTCAGCTGCAGCCTGGGAGAGGAGGCGGGAAAAGGGAAGACACAGGGAGGGTTAGAGAGCGGCAAGTGGATAAGTGAAAGTGGGGTTGAGGATTACGAATGAGTTTAGAAGTTCAGAAAAGCTCTCCGGACTCTGCAGTTACCAAGCCTTACAAAAGGTTAAAAGCCTTTAAGCTCATTGATCTGACTTTTCAGTCCATGACTTTACTGTTCCCTCTCGTCTGCAGTGTTTACAGCCGCAGCAGACAGTTGTTTTCGGCATAAAAAACTGAAAAGCTCTGTACTCTACCTGCCCAGCTCCAAACAGGGAGCCTTTAGGAGCAAATATTTCAGAGGCGGGAGGAGACTAAAACTGAGCCTAAAGGAGAGTTACTGACTCATTTGAAATGACAAAAACATCACTACTGCAGTCATTCTGGATGTGTACATAGGCAACTCTTCATTAGGACATTTTAACTATATTAGGTTTGTAAAGACCCTATCTATATTTGTAGGCATGTATAAAAACGCTGTGTTTAAAGCTTGTTTTGCTGCCCCAAAAACAAGGCTTTAAAAAACAGCTATTTTTTCTTCTTCTTTTTTTAATAAAGAAGCCAAGAATGACCTGCTCATAAACATGTTCGGATTGTTCTTAGTTTGGTATGCCAGATAGAATAAATATGGTTGTAAAGTTGTTACTATTTAGATTTGTGCCCCTGTTGTTGTCAGGTAATACGGTCAGAGGGTTTTTTTCCGTTTCCTACAGCAGGTGCTCTATGCCGAATTATTGAACACTGTCCTCATCTTCCAGCACACTTGCCCTGCTCCTCCTGCCCTCACTGCTTTTCCCTCATTTTCTCTGCCAAGATTCCCATTATGCTAATGCGGTGAAATCAAATCAAAAAATGGAAAATGCTATACCATCAAATATCCTGGTTAACACATGACATACAGTATTTCATGGCTGCTGTTCCTGTGGATATTAGGCCACTTCAGATGCTTCATGCACTTCATGCTTCACTGTTACGCCGTATAACAGTATGATACCTTCATTCAGGTTGAGTTTTATAACCTTCATTACTAGCCCTGTTTAATAAATGTGATCATGCATTTTAGTTTTGGTAAAATACCTACCAAAATCTGTACAAACAAAAACGGCTGAAACTTTGCTACATTTTATTTGTACGCACATAACACTGAACATATTTGTCACTGTTGTAATTGGTATTCAAATGAGACAGAATACTTATGATCACTACAGTGTAGCCATATTTGTGATGTCCCTATTTCCCCCCTTTCCTTTTTCTGGACAAGGGTACGCATTCATTTAGTAAATTGGAGAGAGAAGCACTCGATCAGGGAAAGAGCATAAAGTGTAAATTGGTCGTAAACAGCAGGAAATGCCAGCAGTAACAGACTCCATAAATGACCCAAATATTTCAGTCTCTATGGATTTAATGAGAGAACATAACCTATTGGACCAGCTTAATTAAAAGTTGATTCATCTGAATCATATCACTTATTGAGATCTTTAGAGGTTTAAATATAAATGTTATGCAGTGAAGAAGTTAGAAAGCCTTTCAAAGCAGTAAACTATTTCAATGTATTCTTCAACAGGGAATAGTCTGAGTAAATCATGTTAAAAAGGGGAGCAGCGGCTTGTGTACACGTTTATAATTCTGGGCTATAACTCACGGCAACGGTAAAAATACAGGGGAGCAAACAAAGAATCGTTTGAGAAAGGTCCTGAATATTTTCAGAGCGAGAACACGCTACACTCACAGAGACGGCCAAGATTTCGCTTCATCTAATATTGGTAAAATTGGTGTGGGTATGTGTTTATACATTTGGGCCAGACTGCATACAGTATAGAAATGTCCTAGGACATCCAAACATTATGTAATATTTCCCGACAACATCGTTAGTCAGAAGATAAACAGCTTTCCCAAAAGACCCTTAACTTTCCACCTCCCATTGATTTACTGTAAGTGCTTCGTTTTTAACTGTTTGTGTTTCTCAGGCCGTCTGTGTTTTGACGCTTATGACCCTATAATAGCCACGGTCAATGTCAGAGTAACCCAATTGTTTTTGCAGTATAAACCCTTTTTAAATCGGAAACAACCGAGAGATCAAGTATAGCTTTAAAAGGCGGGGGACAGAAAAGAAAACACATACGGTATACACAGATACAGATACAATTGTGACTAAAGAATGGGAGGGAAAATTGCAGAAGGCAGTGAAAATGAGGGAAAAAAGAGATGTGAGGACAGACAAGAAAGATAAATATTTGTTTTGGGGACAGGAATAGAAAGAGGGATTCTGATGGTTAAACAGCCTCCGCTCTCAGCTTGTTGACTCTCTCTCTGAACACAAACCGACTGCAACTCTTTTTTTTAAAAAGGTGAAATTCCCATGCATTCTTTAATCAAATGAAAGCAAAATATATGTACAGCATGTCAGAGACAGGGAGGAATGTTTGGGTGTTTAAACCAGAAGAAGACGAGGATGTTTGAGGGACAGAGCTTACATTTTAATTGATTAGTGTTTTGGCTAACAACAATTGCCAAGATAGTACATAAGTACTTCTATCGAAATGGTTTACTGCTTGTCTAATTAACTACTGTATGTCATGAACCACTCATATATAACACTGTCCAAAGAGCTTCACATGTGCTATTTAAAAAGGATAATATGATGGCCCTATAGCGTGGGAAAAAATATATTTGGCTCAAAACTCCCTGCTTCTCTGGGGTTTGAATATCTTACAGCCTCTATATTTACTTGTTTTTGCCATCAATTATGTAAAACTGATGATATTTGGTCTTTGGATTGATCAGAAAAAGAGGCCGCTGGGAAACTGTGATGAGCACTTCTTTATGTATCTCCCGCTTTGGTTTAAGTTACCAAAGATTTGCTTCAATTTAAAGACCTGTTATTGTGTGGTATTCGTAAAAAAAAAAAAGTAAATATAACCGATGTGGGAAGTCTGTGCTCTTAATCAGAATTGTAAACCAGTATAATTTAATGAAATATGTAATTAACTGGAACCTCTGGGGAACAGCAGGGGCGGTGGTGTGACAGATGGCGTCCAGGACACGTGGTTTGAAGGCAGCCCTGAGAAACCAGTGACCCTGGACAACATATGGAGTGACACACACACACACACACACACACACACACACACACACACACACACACACACACACACACACACACACACACACACACACACACACACACACACACACACACGATTGGCAGTGGGATAGAATCGTTCACACAAAAGAACACAATGATGGAGAGCGGAGGGGAATTGTTCTGTTTGAGAATAGGGGGGAGTATAAAGTGAGGGATTCAAGTGTACTATGTCTGTGTACCATGTAATAACAGTTTCTACAGAAACCTGGCATGTTGCTGAACAGAGATATGGCCTTGTCTTACCTACAGTATTGTTGATTTCTAACTCTTATATCATGATTTGAATCTCCCACACTAGAATATGTTTGCATATATAATGCTGTGCTATTAAATCTACTTCAATTCAATGATAACTATAGGTTTTATTGAAAAGCACAGATTAATACTTGAATTACTTCCTGTCTCTATACCTGCTCTGCATCCAAATGATGCTAACTCTTGTGTAGCAGCAGGTATCCTGCTGCTGTGGAGGCCCGCTTTCACCTATCGTGTGCTGAGGTGCGGAGGAGGATTCGCCGCGGAGGAGCTCCCACGGCTGAAGGCCCGCCATCCACCTGACTTGGTTCCGCTGTTGGAGGCCTGTTCCCACCTGTCGCTGCTGTACGGGGGAGGATCTGCCACGGCTGTTTCTGCTTCTGCTGGTGCGGAGGCCTGATCTGGGGATACCGCGGAGAAACCGGAGCGCTGCCACACTGCTGCCTCGCCTGTTCCTTGCTGCTGTCCTGACGTGGATTTTGCCCCAGGAACATCGCGGATACTGTGTGCTGGACCGGGAAAATGGCCCATATCGTGATTCTGCTGTACCTATTGACTGTGTTGGACAATGAGAAGATCGCTAGTCATCCTGAGAAGTCTACTGGATTCGGGTCTGTTCTACCGCCCGCAGTGGACATCCCCTGTACGGTTTCGGATGTGTTACAAACAATTACTGGTTGCCTTGTGGCGGACATTCATTTCGACAAATGTTTTTCTTTCTCACTTGCCTGCTATGATGGTTCTTCAGAACTGTTGCTTCTTCTCCCCCTGGTGTACCAACTACATCTTTCTGCTGTACCTCTTCTCCCCTGTGTACAACTACATCTTCTCTGTACTTTCCTTCTCCCCTGTGTACAACTACATCTTCTCTTGTACTTCTTCTCCCCTGTGTACAACTACATTCTTCTCTGTACTTCTTCTCCCCTGTGTACAACTACATCTTCTCTGTACCTCTCTCCCTTGTGTACACTACATCTTCTTCTGTACCTCTTCTCCCCTGTGTACAACTACATCTTCTCTGGTACTTTCTTCTCCCCTGTGACAACTACGATCTGTTCTCTGTACCTCTTCTCCCCTGTGTACAACTACATCTTTCGTCTGTACTTCTTCGTCCCCTGTGTACAACTACCTTCTTCTCTGTACTTCTTCTCCCCTGTGTACATAACTACATCGTTCTCTGTACTTCTTCTCCCCTGTGTTACAACTAGCATCTTCTCTGTACCTCTTCTCCCCTGTGGTACAACTACATCTGTCTCTGGTACTTCTGATCTCCCCTGTCGTACAACTACATCTTCTCTGGGTACCTCTTCTCCCCTTTTGGGGTGCACAAACTACATCCTTCTCTCGTACTTTCTTCTCCCCTTTGTAACAACTACATCTGTCTCTGTACCTCTTCTCCCCTGGGTGTACAACTACATCATCTTCTCGTGTACCTCTTCTCCCCTGGTCGTACAACTCATCTTCTCTGTACCTCTTCTTCCGCCTTTGTTGTACAACTACATCTTTCCTGCTTGTACCTCTTCTCTCTGTCGTACAACTACCATCGTTCTCTCGTACTTCTTCGTTCCCCTCGTGCTACGACGTACATACTTCTCTGGTCCTCTTCCTCTTCTGGTACAACTACATCTTCTCTTTGTACTTCTTCTCCCTTGTGTACAACTACATCTGTTCCTCTGGTACTCTATCTTCCCTTGTGGTGAAGCAACTTACATCTTGTCTCTGGTACTTCTTCTCCCCTGTTGTGGGTACAACTAACATCTTCTCTGGGTACTTTCTTCTCCTCCTGTTGGGTACAACTACATCTCCTTTGCGCTCCTCCCTTTCTCTCCTTCCCCCCCCCTCTTAAAAATGATGACCCACCTGGTCCCGAACCAACGTGTAAGGGACTATCATTGTTATTATTTTTATAGGTTTCGTGGAAAAAAGAGAATTGGTTGTGTGTATGTAAGCAGTTGACAAAATTCTCAGTTGCGTCGTTTGACGCGCTTTCACTCTAATCT